TCGAAATATCTTCTTTCCCACCTTCTTTTCTCATTTTCTGATTTATTTAATTTATTTTTTTATTTATTCTGAAAATTCGATTTTCTTCACGGCAACCCTAAACCTGATTAGGTGTTAGTCTTTCTTGCTTTCGACACACGTTTTGACCCCGTGGGGCTAACGAAGTGCTGCCGAAATTTTCTGATTTTCCCTTACTTAGTCTTCTCGGCACACTTCGACCCCATGGGGGGTAACGAAATGCTGCCAAAATTTTTGACAAATTAGATACTTCATTCCTCCCCACCTCCTCATCCACTTCTTTGCTTCTCTATTTATTTATTTATTTCTTTATTTATTATTTCTTTATCTATTTTCTGAAATTTCTTTTTATTTGCGGCATCTAGAGACCTAGTGTGCTCATCTTCGTCTCTCCTTCCCCATTGGCACATTCTTGACCCGTTGGGGGGTAGGGAAGTGCTGCCGAAAAATTTCAAAAAAAATAAAAAATAAAAAAATAAAAAATAAAAATAAAAAATAAATATTATTTTTTTCTTCACACCTTTTTACCTATTTTTTAAATTATTTTTATTATTTATTTATTTCCTTATTTATTTTTATTTTTTCTCGAAATCTCGCTGTTTATTTATTTTTCTCCCGTCTCCGCCCCCCCCTATGCTTGCTATTTTACTTTCTTTTTTTTTAGGTCACCGGTACCCTACCCTAGCCACTTAAACCTCGGTTAGGGTTTTCTTAGGGTTTTTGTAGGGTTTAGGGTTCCTCAAACCCCCCCTACTTCCTCTTCGGACACCCTGGACCCGAACCACCCCTCCCCCTTTGACGGCGCCCGTGCTAACCTTGCTAGCGCCGTTGGCCGCTTTCTACCGCGGACTTCCCCCTACGCCCTCCGCTCACGCGAACTTCTTCTGGCCCCCTCCAGTCCGGTCCGCCATCTCCCCATGGTCGACGGTGCGTCACAAGCCGCCGACACGGCAATGACCACGCCATCGGGCTCCACACCCGTGCCGGCGGACCAGCGCCATCAGCCCCAGGGGGATCTACACACCCTCCTCACCTCCTTCCTTGCGCCCATCCAGGCACAACTCGCGACCCTTGCGCCCATCCAGGCGCAACTCGCGACCCTCACGCTCTTACAGGCGCAGGTGGCGACCCTTGCCGCCGGCATGCAGCAACTCCAAGACGCTGCGTGTCCGTCATCTCCTGGCTCCTAGTCCAGGTCCCCCGTCCTCCGACAGGGTGGCCAAGGCGGAGCTTCCTCCTCCGTTGCCCCTAACCCGGCCATCTTGGTGACTGTCCACGCCCCTAGCACGACGGCCGCCACGAGCCAGGCCCCCCCTCAGTCTACGGACGCACCCGCCCAGATCCCGGTCACTACGGCCACGGTACAACAACCCGCTACCATGGTCTCAGTTTTTCCGTGTGCCCCGCTTCTCCCTCCCCTTCGCACGACCGCAGCGCCACCTGGCTCTTCCCCCTCTGGGATGCCCCGCGCCGCTTGTGCATCCACCCCCTCCACTCTTCCTCCTGCCACCCCTCGATCGACCTACGTTCGAGGTCTCGCGGACGAGATTACCCAGCTCCGGGCCGACCTCGCCCTCTTACGCCTTCAGCTACCCCCACCCTCACATGTGGCCGCGGCTTCGTCCACACTCCCTACCTCCTCTACCCTTCCTCCCATGCAGGCTCGCTTTCCCTGCCCTGCACCCTATACAACTTCTTCCTACCTTCTTCCTACTCATGCAGTTGCTGCGACCTCTTCTACTGCAGCACCCTCGCAACATGCCGCTGTTGCCACCGCCGCTCCCCCATGCGGCCCGGGCGCACAGTCAACTGCGCCCCTTTCTCCAGGACCTGTGCCGACTTACTCAACCGTGGCACAGGCCTCCGCTCCTCGATCCCCTCGCCGCCAAAACGGTGGCGCACCACTCATCCGCTTGTCGGACATTGCCTTGTATGACAGTACAGGCATACACGTGTCTCGGTGGCTGCAGTCTGCCACCCGCACACTCCAGCTCATGGGCGCCACACCCGAGACGTGGGTGGGTCACCTCTCCACGCGCCTGCGTGGCGGTCCTTTCGAGGCCTGGGAGGATTTCTATGCCTACTCCCTTCGTGAGGGTCGGACTCCGACCTTCGTGGATTTCCAGGCGTTCCGCGAGGATTGCTTCGGAGCCCGGTACGACGTGACTGACGCCTTCGAGCGTGTCGTCACTACACGCTGGTCCGRCTCTGGTGGCGCTGCCGGCCTGGATCGCCACATCCAGGTCTTTCAGGACGCCCTCCTCGTTTGCGACGTGGCGTTCCTCCCCGAGGCTGCCCTTATCGATCGTTTCTTGGCCAGCCTTCTACTCGAGTACCGCTCCGAGCTATGGCGGTACGAGTTCACATCSGCCCCACAGGCTTACGAGGCCACCAGGGACCACCGGCGGATGCGAGCCCGTCTTCACCCCGCCTCCTCCTCCTAGCCCCAGCGCACGGGCTACACCTCCTCCTCCTCTCACGGCACTTCCCAGCGCCATTCCCCTTTCCGCGGTCGCCCCCGCCTTTCCACGCATCAGGGCCGTCACTTCTCGCGCCGCTTCAGCGCGCTGGAGTATGGTGAGCAGGACGTTGTTGCCCCACTGTCACGTGAGGGCGACCACAGCGACGACCTTAATCTCCGTGAGGTCGTCCACTATCACTTGGAGGACTCTAYCCTCCCTGCAGCTGAGCGCCTTCAGCTCGCGCTCTCCGACCTCTCTCGGGCACGCAGCCGCCCCGGTCACGCTGGCGCGTCGCCCCCCGAGGTCCCTCAGGAGGACCTCCCTAAGGGCTTTGTCCCTCCTCGTGGTTTCCTTTCCGCTGAGGAGCGCGTGGCTATTCTGGGCCGGCGTGGGTGTTTGCGCTGCCACTTGGACGGTCATACCTCCTCGCGGTGCCCTTACACTACCGCCCTCGACCGCCACTACGTTGACCTTTCTCGTCAGCGTCGTGCTSAGTCCCCCCCCGGCGCCTCACGTCCCAGCGGCGCCTCCTAGCCACGGTGCAGTGTACACCTGCGCCCTCCTCAGTAGTGGGCTTCCCGACATCTCCGTCGCGGTTCGCCCCTCTCACTACTGGAATTGAGGTATCGCAGGACTTGACAGAGTATACTCGGCCCTCTGTCGCAGTACCGTCTGCGCCTCCGCAGACCACCGTCTCCCCTCCTTCCCCGTCGCGACTACCGACGCGTCGAGCCATTCGCTCAGCCCGTTGCAGCGAGCAGCTTGCTACTCGCGAGGACGTTGTGTCCTCTCTTCTGGACTTGAGCATGCTCCAGGCTCGTCAAGAGCGACTCACCCTCCATGTCGCTGCACTGCGTCACCTTCTCGCCATCCTCTCTGACCCTGATCACACCCTCCCGATCATCCCAGTACGACTCGGGACCTCCACGAGGGTGTACTCGGCGTTGTGGGATTCCGGTTCTCAGGGCGACTTCGTTCACCCACGCGTGGTGAAGGAAGCCCGCTTACCCACGACAGGGTCTCCGACTCCCATCTCCGTTACCCTAGGGGATGACAAGACCCAGTGCTTCTTCGATCAGACGGTCACCGGCCTCCCCTTCTTCCTCACTCTTGAGCGGACTGATCGTTCCCCGACGTCTCGTCGCCACCGCTCCTCTGCACATTTCGATGTGATGGAGACGGGGTACGACTTCATTCTCGGCACTCCGTGGTCTCGTCGGTTCCACAGCACCGAGGCCGATTGGGCGACCAACACTCTCGTTCTCAAAACGAAGTGTGGACAGGCGTATCGCGTACCTTTCATAGGTACCACGGCGACACTACACCCCGATCCTCCTCCCCCGGAGCCTTCAGTGCCCACACCATCTCCCTCTATCACTGTCACCTCGCCTCGGCAGTTCGCTCACTTCATTCGACAGGACGATGTCACCTTCTTTATGGTGGAAGTGACGGATCTCTTACACTATGATCCACCCTGTCTCGACGTCGAGCTTATCCCTCTGGAGCCCGATCCTCCATCTATCTCCATGGCTCCCATCTCAACTTCCGTCGCTCCGCTGTCCGTCGAGTCCACCCCGCCGTCGCGCGCTGACGCTGACGCTGAGGAACTCGCACGRTATGCGGCTGACTTGGAGCCCGCAGTTCGTGACCTCATCCGAGAGTACCACGACATTTTCCCATCGTCGTTCTCATACGCCGGCATCCCACCGTTGCGTGACGTCGAGCACTCCATTCAACTTGTGCCTGACTATCGTGTTCACCACCAGGCACCCTACAGACTCTCGATCCCCGAGGCCACCGAATTCAAGCGTCAGCTTGAGGAGCTCCTGAGACTGGGTTTCATTAAACCCAACAACTCCCCGTGGGGTGCACCCGTCCTCTTTGCTCGCAAAGCGGACGGAACTCTCCGTCTCTGCATCGACTATCGCGGTCTCAACCGCTACACGGTTAAGAACAGCTACCCCGTGCCTCCTTCCGATGAGCTGTTCGACCGCCTAGCAGGCAACCGCTTCTTTACGAAGATTGATCTTCGTAGCGGTTACCATCGGATCTGCGTCGCTGCAGCCAACCAGCCGAAGACCGCGTTCCGATCTACGATACCTTTCATAGGGCAATGAACGATATCTTCAGGGAAATCCTGGAGCAGTACGTTCTCGTCTACCTCGACGATATCCTAGTCTACAGTCGTACCCTTGAGGAGCACCTCAGATATCTCCGCGACGTCCTTGACCGCTTGCGCGGACATGGCTTCTACGGCAAGTTGAGCAAGTGCCGCTTTGCCCAGCACAAAGTGAATTTCTTAGGACACTATGTGTCTGACCAGGGTCTCCACATGGACGACGCGAAGATCACTGCTATTGCGGAGTGGCCCGCTCCCACATCCGCCAAGCAACTTCACAGCTTCCTAGGTCGGACCAGCTACTATAGTAACTTCATCCGGGGATACGCTAGATATTCCTATGTCCTTACCTCCACCCTCCTCTTGAATAACCCACCCTGGGCTTGGACACCCCTCCACGAGGACGCCTTCCGCGCCCTCAAGAAGGCGGTGACATGCGCACCGATTCTTCACCTACCCGATTTTGACCGCCCTTTTATCCTTACCACCGATGCGTCAGACTTCGCTGTAGGAGCAGTGCTTTCTCAGGTCTTCCCTTCCTCTCTTGATTCCTCTCATCCTCGTATCCCTCGCTTCCCACCACCTACCCCTACCTCTGCTTCCTGACTTACGCCTACTCATCCAGCTACTGACGAGCCTTCTATTGACTATTCTCCTACCATCGCCGAGGACGACAGTGTCGAGTCTCGCTCAGGTGATTGTCCGATAGCCTTCTACTCCCGTCAGCTCCTGCCCGCCGAGATAAACTACACCGCTGATGAACGTGAGGTTCTCGCAGTAGTTTATGCCGCTCGGCATTGGCGTCACTACCTGCACAGAGCACCATTCACGGTGCGCACGGACAACTCTGTTGTGCAGGCTTTTCTGACAAAGTCGAAGCTCACTCCTCGATAGGCTCGCTGGTGGCACGACCTATCCGAGTTTAGTTTCACCATTAGGCACATCAAGCATAAGACTAATCGGGTCGCAGATCCCCTATCCCGGCGCCCTGACCACGACCAGGAGCACATCCAACTCTCTTCCATCTCGGTCACCAAAGTCCACCACTCGGTGATCGACGAGTTTCGCACTCAGTACTGCCGCTGCCCCGACTATGGCGACATCCACGCGACCCTTCGGAGTGGCAAGACCGTCCCGAACTACTCTCTCCGGGACAACGGTCTTGTGTACTGGCACGGTTCAAAGGGCACCAGAGAGCCCCGTATTTGCGTTCCCTCCACTGGACAGCTACGTGTCCGAGCAGTAGTAGAGTTCCATGACCAGGCAGCTGCCGGTCATATGGGTTTCCACAAGACGTTGGCTCGTGTGAGCCGCCTGTACGTCTGGCCGAAGCGCAAGGACTTTGTGAAGAACACCGTCGCAGAGTGTCCCATCTGTCAGGAGGTGAACAATGCGAACCACCTGCCTTATGGTTTGCTCCAGCCTCTTCCTATCCCTGAGGGTCGTTGGCAGTCCATCTCGATGGACTTTATCGGTCCTCTTCGTCCTCCGACCCCTCGCGGTCATGATGCTATCCTGGTCGTCGTCGACCGCTTCACAAAGCGTGCACGCTTTGTTCCGTGCCGCTATGCCATCAGTGCACGTGAGGTCGCCGACATCGTGTTTGACCGAGTCGTGCGTGACCACGGCTTACCTCTGATCATCATATCTGACCGTGACCCGCGCTTTACCAGCCGATTCTGGCGACGGCTCCACGAGGTATATGACACTCAGCTCCGCTTCTCCTCGTCCTACCATCCTCAGACTGATGGTCAGACCGAGATCATGAACAGGACTCTCGGAGATATTCTTCGAAAGATTGTCCGTGACGACCAACAGTGGGATCTTCATCTTGCCCACGCGGAGATAGCCTACAACCACGCCGTCTCGCCAGCCACGGGGATGTCGCCTTACTATTGCGACCTCGACTATCACCCTCGTATTCCCGCGGACTTCCTTCGACCGTCCCAGCTGCACCCCGACACGAGTTGTCCCGCGCTGGACAATTGGGTTGCACACATGACGTCGATCATGAAGACCGCACATGAGCACATAGCCGCTTTCCAGACTCGCATGGCAGCATGTGCGAACCGATCGAGGATAGATCATCCATTCAAAGTCGGTGATGATGTGCTTATTGACGCCCACCACTTACAGCTCAAAGCAGACACGCTTCGCAAGTTTCGACGTCGCTTCTTTGGCCCATGCCGCATCCTCCAGGCCATCGGTTCTGATACGGCATCTAGCCCGGTTAGCTTCCGTGTGAAGTTGCCCGACTACCTACGCTAGGCTCGTGTGCACGATGTCTACCACGTCTCGTTACTGCATCCTTACCGCAGACCGTCTGAGCGTTTCGTTGGACGATCATACGAGCGCCCTCCACCTATCATGGTGGACGGTCACGAGGAGTTCCTCGTTTCAGACATCATTGGTCGCCGAGTCACCGACAACAACCCTCCCCACGTCGAGTTTCTCGTACGTTGGAAGGGTTACCCTGATGAGGAGGCTACCTGGGAGCCCCTCGAGCACTTGCAGCACGCTCGCATGTTGGTGCGTGCCTATGACCGTGCTTGTCGGGCTGGGTTCACTGCTCCTCCTGAGCCCACTGACCCTCCTCCTTCTCCTCCGGCTGAGGAGACCGCTGAAGTCGAGCTTGCTCCATCTGAGGCAGACCTTCAACAGCAGCCGGATGCTTCTGAGCGTCCACAGCGCACTCGTCGTCGTCCTGCTCGATACGACGATTGACTCTGACTTACCTTCCCACGTCTTTGACTTCTCAGTACTCCATCCAAATCAGTTTTGCTACTTCAGCTCGTCGACGCTGCGGCTCTTCCTCGACGACATTCCGGACTTCTCATCGTGGATGTCATCGGCAGCTTCATGGACTTCATCACGATCAGCTCTGCCTACTTCACACGTCGCCACTCTCTTACCACTCTACCCTGTACAGTACCCTGCTTGTGTCGCATGATGGTCTCCCTTTAGCCGGGTTCCTCTTAGTTGGGCTCTCCCTTGGTATACAAATAGGCATCGGGACCGTAGTGTTGCCTTGGCTTCCCATCTTACGGATCTAGCTCCGACTTCCCTCACTTTATGAGTCATTTGCATGATTTCCTTACCCATCATCTTTCTACCTTTCGCCGGCCCTCACGCCCTAGTTAGGCAGCCCCGCATGCTTCATCTAGGTGCGCCCAGTAGACCAGGCTCCCTTATTCCGATGGTCGACCCTTCATAGCGGTCACCCCTTAGTCGAGCATCACCCGCCCTGATGGTCTATCTGTTAGGGTCATTGGTTCTGTTCGCTCTCAGTTCCCTACCCTCATTGAGCCTGATGACATGTGTCTCCCTGTTATYTATGTGTGGATGCCCTTAGGAGTTTTCGACCCCTAGGCTGCATTCGCCACCCTCAGAGACCATCCCACCCTTTGGTTTGCGACACACTTCTCTTGTGACATATGGTTGCTTTGTTGTTGCCTTGTTGCTCTTAGACTGAGGCTACTGCCTCTGACATTTCTAGGATTTAGTTGTTCTGCTTTTGCTGTTCTTTGGACTTATACACTAGTCAGTTGTTCCCAGACGGAGGCTACTGCCTCCAACATTCTAGGATCTAGTTGTCACTACTTTCTGCTTTCCTAGGACATGTATGCTAGTTAGTTGCTTTTGCTTTCCTAGGACATGTATGCTAGTTAGTTGTTTTTGCTTTTACTTAGGCTGTTAGCTGTGACATTGTTGTTTTGTGACATTTTATATCCTAGGTTGCATCGCATGGACTCCGCATGGAGCTCGCTCCGCATCCTAGACTACTCAGGTTTCTTTTCTTTGGTAGAGTTCCGCTTTTTGGCAGAAGCGTGCTTGTATCTAGGCGATCCATTACAGGACGAGGATCGTGTAGCGGACCTCTGGAGGGCCTGTGAGACCAGCCCCTTGGCCTGTTCTGACAGGCCTGTGTTTTATTCGGGGCAGTCCAGTCCAGGCCGGTACCTCTGTAGGTACCAGCCAGTCCAGTCCAGTCCCGTCAGTCCGCTGGGGTATACCCCAGCCTTTGTTTGTTTTCGAGCTCATTCTTCACTTGCACATTTTGGAGTACGTGCGTTGGAGTCTTGCGTGGGGAGCTGCGTTGTGCCATCTCGCTCCCCCCTTCTTCCTCCATCTCCATCTCTACCACTAGCGGAGCACCACACCTGGTGGGTCCGCTACAGTAATGTTCAGTCTCACGCCACGAAAGGGTAATTTCGAACGGAAATGGCTACAGAGGGGCGTTTGGAAGGTGGAGCACATCTGGGACCGGAAAAGGAGAGAATGGAAGTCGGCAGAGGCCCTTAAGCACAAACTTAGAGGCCTTCAAGGAATATCCCTACATCTAAAGCATCTGAAGGCATTGATCCTGGCTGTTCCTAACGCATGGACTGAGCTCCTAAGGGCTGAAAACGGGGCTTGGCTAGAAGACACTTGGTGGTCGGACCCCCAAACAGACGACCGAACGCTGCACATTACAGATTCATTGGTGGAACGCAGGTTGGAAGCAGCAGTCTGGGTCAAGGAGTTGCCAACCAATTTTACAAAAGGGGATATCATCTTAACGTCCAGCTGCAGTTTGGGAAAACCTACCAAGGTCTCCCCCCTCCTCGTTCAACAAGGGAACCCGATGGTTCAAGTGGTGGATCAGGCAACACAATTGGTGGATAACAGACCGGATTCTTCCGAGGTAGGATGGACATTAGAGTCCGGTGTGTCTACACCTATCAAGTTTTCAATCAACGAATACAAACCTAAACTGGGGTATAAAATGCAGTCAAAGGCCTCTTCCTTGAAAGCACAGTCATGTCTGTCTTGGAGTAAACGCTTCAATGCCATTCCTTTTTTAACATTTGTAGACAAATGGCTACCTTTTTATTGCCAGATGATTACAAGCATCACAGAGGTCAAGATGGGAGGCCTGCAGTGGATGCACATGCATTCCTGTGTACCCACTGCAGAGTGGTGTTCAGAAAAGGGCATGATGGTAAGCATATTTTGTGATCATTGTCCCTACCTGAGGGTGGAGTCTTCTGCACATCTGTGGTGGGAATGTGTGATTGCTAGAGGTTTCTGGGAATGGCTACAGGACATATGGTACAAGGCTTAGGGGGTCCCTAATGTCTGGACTCAAGATTTTGTGATTTCCGGAGTCACTACAGTCACAAAAGGTAAGACTGTGGCATACAAATTTCGGGCTATTGCCTTCTGGATCCTCTGGTTGGCATGCAGAGACAGAAGATTTCATTCCAAACCCAGTTGTCCGATTGTGGTCAGGAACCAATTTCGGTATTCGGTTCGCATGCTAATATTAGCAGAAGTCAGGAGGTTAAAAAGGCTCAAACCTCAGGCAGCTCCTAGGCTATCCAACCCTAGAGGGGGGTGGGAACAGCCCTTTAGATGGGCAGGCCATCTAGCTTCAGGACAAGTATATTTCTCCAGGCTGCTGTGGGACGAACAATTCTTCCTGTGAAAGACAGGGTTATCTAGTTTCTGCTACAGGCTGAAACCATACCTTTGGGACTAAAGTCAGAACAGGGATAGTCATAGACTGTCAAGAGGGGTAGTGTTTCTTTTTGCTCTGTGGACAGATACTAGAATCCTTCTTTTAAGGATTCTGCCAGAAATTGCTGAATTAAGTTAAGAACTCTTTGATTCGGAAGGACGCTGGACCTGATTTCCAGCACGTTCTTTACCTCTTGCCCTAAGGATACCGGCCCTGGTTTTCAGTCTGCTAGCCAGGAGAGGACGCTGGACCTGTTTTCCAGGATTCCGGGTAGAATTGTGAGGTCCCCGGCCTCGGTTCATGACATTGGGCCTCGCTGCACTACTCTTGAAATGTGCAAAACGAGAGTGAATCTTCCGCAAGAATATGGAAAGATGCACCGCCATGATTTTTKTCTTTTGTGCATTTCAAGAGTAGTGYAGCAAGGCCCATTCTAACACCAARAMARAWCTKTTHAAAAAAAAAAAAAAAAAAAAAAAAAAAAAGCATCCCTTATGCTGGGATTGCGGTTGGATACAGGATGCTACAGTACTTGTCTGGAATAGAGGCTGTTACCTCGCGTGAAATCCGCCCTGCCTGGCTGGCAGGGCGCTACAAAGGGTAAGATCCCACTGGCAAAGAGGATTGTAGACTCAAGAGCCTAGCTCAGTGGGTACACCCATGAACTGTTGAAATACAGACCTGTGTTCCAATCCAGATGATGGAACTTGATGAGTAAAACCAACTACTAATGAATTGCCTGGGGCCAGTCAGCTCAATGATAATATCTCAAGACGGTAGTCTTTAAAAAAAAAAAAAAAAAGGATTGTAGGAAGTGTCTGAATGTGGACGTGTTTGAGGACAGGTGCAAAAAACAGTGGTTTATCTGCTTTTCTGCATCTGTGCGTGGAACACATCCAGATTCAGACACTTATTCCAATCCTCTTTGCGAGTGGGATCTGGCCCAAAGACTCACAACAAAAAGCAAAACGTCCTCACATACTGGCCAGATACATTCCTCAAAGCACTGGCCCCCCGTTGTAGAGTCTCCCTTCTTTTCTTTTTTTTTTTCTCTTTTTCCTCCATCCCTGCGCTGTTGAAACACAGACCCAGGTTCCCCGGCACGGGTGTGGCCGAGACATCTCGGCCGTAGCCAATGTGGGGTGTGGCCGAGACATCTCGGCCGTGGCCAGTCTGGTGTGTGGCCGAGACATCTCGGACGTGGCCCAACCATGGGGCTCTTTTTTTTTTTTTCCCTCCGGCCGTGGTGCAGCGCGGCACTTGACCGAGAAAAAAAAAAAAAACACAACACAACACAACGCCCATGTGGCTGACTGAACTGCTCGGAAAGGCCAGCCCCAGTTTCAACTGCAATTGAAACTCGGGCTCTGACAGACTGCTAAAACGCAGTTTGAAATGCAATTACAAACTGTAATCCTGACTGCGCCGTAGTTATTTGAAAAAAAAAAACTTTGTACCAAAAAAAAAGAACTTTGTACATCTCCCCCGTGATCCTGACGGATTGACGCACATATAAAATCTCCCCATGACGAAACCTTTATATCATCCAGCAGCCTACCTCAGTTGATAAGGCATGCAAGTGCACATTTAGGAAGTCTTGGGTTCAATCCCCATTAGCCTCATGTACCTTCCTGGGCACTCTGCCACCTTAATTATGTGAGTTTTTTTCAACAACCACCCGAGAAAGAGCTTTGCCCACCCAGATTGGCACACCGCTGGACAGATCATCGTCGAAGGGGCGAAGAATAAGAAAAGTGTCCACGTGAACATGCACGAGGGGGTCGAAACTGGTCTTCAGACGATCTTTTCTTCTTTCAA